ATATATATATATATATATATATATAGTTCATTTATTGTCCTACGGATTAATGAGTATGCTGTGTATATAGCAACCCAATATAATTGGGCAGGAATCATTTATATTTTTTATTTTATATGAAAATAAAGTGTTTCTCTCTCTCTCTTATATAGCTCCGAATGTTTCCTATACCTCCATACAACCTCTTTACAAACAGTTCCATAAATTCTCCTCAATATTAGCACTACAGATAATTAAGAATGAAACACCAGGGTTTAAGGACATACGTAATATGATAGAACTGCATGGACTAAATTGTAATTTATATCGCTCTAACTGTGATGATATTAATCTATGTAGAGCTAATATATCTTTACTAAGAATTCAAATTCAGAAAGACATGTATAATCAACATACAATTAAAGTTAAACATTCTAAAACATTCCCCTCTTATTCTCATTTAATTTCTGTAAATGTTTATTATTATTAATTATTAATGACAAAATCTCATTAGAAGTGATAAAATAAAATCGAGGGTGATTTTTTGAACCTAAATTATAAATACTTCAAGCAATCGAATTATATTTGTAGTAAAAGTAACATAAACGAAATAGAAAGAAATCTCAATCACTTTCTGTTTTGTTGAAATTAACTATTTTGTTGAAAATTAAAATCATTATCACCATCTGTAAAGCTTATAACATTATTTTCATTTAACCTTGTAAAATGATTCAACAATAAACCATCAATAGTATTATAATTACTTATTGGTAGATATGAATGTACTCTCAACATGTCTTAGTCAAGTTTTAAATTATTTAGTTTAAAATGTCACATTGGAAGAGAAAATAAATACAAGAAATAACATAATTAAAGTTGAATACGGTAGATAAGAACGAGAAGAGAAAACCAACCATAAGTAAAAACTATATAGCAAAAACAAAATTAAAAAATAAAGTTTAATTAAACGACAGAAAAAGTCTTGAGTTTAATTGCTTTATATTTTCTTCACAAAAACAGAATGTTTTAACTTACTAAAAGAAAAATCTAAAGCGTGGACGAGATTTATTTTTCTTTCTACCTGAGCTCTCAGTATTTATTAATTTCTCTCATAGTCTTGCCTAGATGCGGTAACATTTAGATTTCTATCGAAAAAACGTCTACTTCTTTATTTTGAACCTTTTCGGTCATTTTCAAAGTCTTTAAATTAAAATATTTTAATACTTTCGGGGTCCTAAGTGGCCTCTTAGTTAGACTTAGGAATAAAAACGTCTTAGTTCGAGTAATATTATACCTTATGAGATATAATTCCATGGATAAATACAATATTCACGTTAACGTGTGTACAATAGGTAAGATATTTCTTATCGTTAACAAATTATAACTATTGGTTTGAAATGAAATAATAATAAATAAGAGAGAAGAGATGGTTCAATAGTTTGAGTAAAGGTATACAATAAATCTTAAAATGACTGCGTCCTGACTAATTATAACATATGATATGTATAACAGTCGGCATTTTTTTTCTTTCAGTGACTTAAAAGTTTTCTTTATACATTTAAAAACTGTGTAACATTATATTTATGATCAATCCAAAGGTAAACCATGAATGTTCCAATTCCTAATTTTGAGAAACCAGAATTTGATGACAATTTTTTCACATTCCTGGTTTTGCCTTTGAACCAGCAATATTATTTGAAAAATGCTGATATAGTTCTAGAATAGTTACAGTATTATTATTAACTTTAACAAAAATAAATACCACATTTTTACAATTAAACTATCTTATCAGTCTCATTTATATTTTTCAGACCGATTCTTTATCCATTCCTATACATGAAATAGTTAATATTTCTGAAAAAGATTGAATTAATTGGCAATAAATTGAAAGTTGAATCACTCAATTGTAAAACATGGTAATTAACAGCATATAATTTATTAAAATATTTTAGTGGATTCATATCAAAGACGGACACCTGTCATTGTCACTAAGTGAAGAAAAGTCATTGTTTTATATGTTAAGCTCAAATTGTATTTCATGATTTTAATTAAGAATTTTCAAGTTGAATAATGAAAAAAATCATTAAAATTGCTCAAAATTGTAGCTAAGCTTTTCTTCAGCCAACACCCATTTACGATATCTTAATAATAATAATAAACAAAGCATTTTATTATGTCCATAGCACGACAATAGAAACAAATTACAATTAGATAACAATTGAAATCAAATTAAAATTTAATTATTTGATAAATCAAATTTCAAAAAAATTAAATTACTTTACATATTTACAAATAATAATAAATAAATAAAACAAATCCATTCAAGTAATCCTTGAATAGGTCTAGACTTTGCCACGTGACCAGCCAACAGGGAAGCTGAGTTCGTTATCTGTATCCACTTCTTTCCAGGCATCTCTGTCTCTTGCCTATCTCCTTCATATTGGTCCAGCCATCTTCCTAAAGACGTTACTTCACCTTTTCATCTATCTTCCTCTACGCTTTTTGTAACAATATGTTGTCCAAATTGACCACGATTTATCATTTCTTCTTAAAATGTGCTCTGCACATTCCCATTTTTTCTTTTTTACATGGTGGATTCGTTTCAGATAGTGATACAACTTCTAATTTTCTTCTTCTTCTTAATATTAGTTATACATCTGCCAGTTGACGTTTGCAAGGTCATCAGTTTTCTTGATTGGGTTTTGGTTAAGGTTCAATAAGGAAATAAGAAAATTTTTGATAACCTGTATACTCCCTGCCGCCTTCTGTGGTATTCAAACTTCGCCCTTGACATCCTAATATAAACATTCAAAGAAACAAAATTTCCTAAAGATTGCGTTAGCAATCTATGAAGTCAGCCGCTAGTAATATCGTCTAGTCAAAAACGTCAATTTCAATTTTACAGCCGATTTACTCAGTTATAACGGTTATTGTATTATTCAAAAATTGTTTTTGAAACATATGAAAAATCATCTTGTAATACATATGAAAAATCCAAGGTTACTATCAATTTGTTTTTCTTTATACCAGTTTAATATTAAAAATCAACAAATAAAAAAAATAAGCCAAAATTCGAATTCTTAAAATATATTTTATGTTTGATCAGCCATTGAAGATCACTCTAAATTGTACCATACAAATAATGCAATGAGAAAAGTTTTGAAAAATACGGAATATAATCATGTGCCACCAAGAAAACGTTACAGGACGAAGCATTATAGAAACTGGAATTTATATTGGACGATTTAGAAAGAAAGATGCGATTGAAAAAGATTTAGATAGGTATGCCATTAAGTGCAGCTTAACTGAAATAAAGAACAAAGAAAATGCTTGTGACGTAAAAGAATTCAATTATATTTGGTTAGAAGAGACTAAAATACACAGGCAAAGGAGTCTTTTTTGCATTGCCTTAACCAATAATTATAGGATTTGTATGAATGGAAATGAAGCTGAAGTTTAAAATACAACAGAAAATATTGTTCTTTGGAAGATCATCCTTCTGGTCTTATCTCACTTGCACAATATCTTCCTTCGTCGAATGTAAAAATGTTAAATGAAAAAAAATAAATGAAAGTAGATATGGGAACCTGTCGTGTGTTTGCTATTTTTAAAAGAGGTATGAAACTCTTCTTATTCTAAAGCTATGAAAATTCAAAACAGTGTCAGTGTTCTCACAGATATTATATTAGATGAAAATGTTGCTTTTAAGAGGGCATACAGTTAATAGATATGTGATATGAATAGATGAGCTATCATCCGCAGTAGAATTTTATTTAAGAATATTAGCGATATTATTATTCTTTATTATAAGATTTATATTATCAATACTATATATAATAGGCTAGTATATATTCCTTTATCCTACTCTCAGGAGGATTTTGATGAGTAAGGTATCAAACGAAAGATAATTTCATCAGCAACTGACGAATCCCAAATTCAAAAAGTAAAAACTTACTAAAACTGCAATAAAAGTCACTGAAGAAATTGGTAGTATTCAAATTTCAGATGGTTCAAAAAGTCGACGGATAGAAATGCCATACATTGTGTTTTAAAGATTTCGAATTTAACGTCATTAAGACAAATCGTTAAAGCAGTTCTTGAGTGAGTACCATTGCAAGTTCAAGGTTATCTGCATCTTACCAACTAAAAGTTAAACTGGAGGGATAACTTTCAGTAGGAAAATCTAATCTCATGTCAAATAAATTACTATTTTAATACCCGAGGAAAATGCAAACTTTAACCAACTATGTAGTGTTGAATCTACTAATTTGATAATAGTACATTGTTTTTATTAATAACCTTGTTTTGAGGTTAAAGCTTGTAAGTCTAATGATATTTAATTTGAGACTGTTTACTGTGTTTAATAATTGTAGATAATTTATTGTGCGGTAAATTGAGTATTGCGGTGGTGAAATCCGACATCCGAGCTGTTATAGATGATAGATTACTTACGATCTTAACTTCGTACGTAACAGACTGCCCTATTTACCATCGTTGCAAACAGAAGTCTTGGACCCTAGTGAAAAATATATGTCTACCAATGACAGACCGTAATCTGTCAATTATAACTCCACCTAATTAAGAAAGTATGTCTTTCTAATTACAAAAATGGCCTGTCGTCTCTCAAAGTCACAATTAACTTGTTTCTACTTCACTCATACATATTGCTTAAGCTGGAACATTCATCTTGTTCACCGACACTTTTACTGTGTACAGTACACTGAAATTGCTATAAATTCGATCACTAATTTTTTTTTAATTATGCTAAATCTCTAGCAAAAACAAAAGTGAAACAGTAATAAAATACACGAAACAATCAGTTGGTAAGATTAATTTAATGAAATTTACCCCTGAAAGATGAGAAAAAATTACTTTAAAAACTAAAATTATTCAGAAACAATGATAGTTTCAAATAAATATCAAGAAAAGACATAAATGTAGTTGAAAATATTCGCAGCTGAGACTAATCCATTTTACATATCCCCTTCACGTCAGCTGTTTGTTTATAAAATATAAATTAAAAACAACAAATCTCGTCACAAAACATCTTTAAAACAATGTATGGTTTAAATTTTTGTTTTCGTTTTATCCATCCGACCGACAAACAACAGTAAGTTCAATAGCTATATTTTTATTTATATATGAAATGAAAAACGTATATTTATTGTTGGACACTGGATCCTAAAATATATTAAAATGCACAAATCAAGCTGCATTACTTTAACCGCTATAATTAATTTACTAAATTTAATTAAAATAAAAGACTAATGTTGAATATAAAAATTGAGAACTGGAAAATCAAAAGCGTTTCAACTGTTTAGTAATAGCAATCATCCATTGAAAATTTTTTGAGTTGTACAGATCTTTTCTCTAAGCAGTCATTTATAAATATGAATATGTATAATGTATACCAAAACATACTCACAAATTTATTGGCACAACTATACCAATCCATTAAAAACTATATTTATTCCAAATTAGATAGACATATATTCTTTATATATTTGAATGATGAAGATAGATACTTAAGGAGACGAAAAAATAAAAGGTGTTTAAATGAAGGAGTTTCACGATTGAAAATGGAAAGCATTTACAAAACGAGATTACATCGATGATAAAGAATTTTTCTAAAGAAGCTGTTCTTTTAAGAGGGATACACAATTAGTAGGTTGAGATTTTGTATACACTTTTCGCAATGAATTTTCCGTTTCGATCCTCAATTAATGGCCTAATATTCTTTAAATCAGACTCCATTTTTACAGATAACTAGATCTGACAGACAATATTTAATTTAAAATGCTATAAATTAGTATTCTAAAAAATGTTTTCATCAAATAATCTCGATTTCTTTGCACAGTTTCAGGATTATCTCGTGTTTTTATCTATATCTGTCTACCTATAGATATCTATGGATACAGTTTATATCAATAAAATATAATTTAAAAAAAAATCATTAACTTGTGCCATCAATATATTTCGTAATACTACAATTGTGATTGGTTTAATACTCTAATAATAAAGAAAAACATAAAACCATCATAGTACATTTGCAAAATTACTATTGTAAATTATAGGAAACTAGCAGAGGAAAGAAAGCAATATGGCTACCGCGAATAAGTTAGGAATAAGTTGCAACGCTTTGCAGAAAGTGGGCCCGCTACTTAGCACCCCGAGGTGGGACCGGGCCATTAGACAGGGATACCAACCTAACACAATGGTCCATACATCACCGCCTTTTGGATATCTGCAGTCATTATCGCGGGTAAATGAAGCTGTGGCAGCGATATTGGCAATAACTCACTCACTATCGATCCTCAGCTTTCATTTCGACGGTTTAATATCCTTCCTTGTAAAGGTTCCTCGACTGGCCTGGTTGCTTCACGCTCAGGAGTCAGCGAGGCCGCTGGGCTTTTTCACATAATGCAACAAATCCATCCCAATGCTTGGATTATTTCGTTATGGGAGTTCATATCTGACTTCAAATCATGATCCAAATTAAATCATATTTCATATAATTTTCGTTTTATTTCTTGTTTTTTATAACCTATACTTTTCATTTAGTTCATCTGTGTACTTCAAGTATTGGTTTAGTACCAAACAAAATAAAATACTTACCTATTCTTCTTCTCATTACCGAAATTAGAGAAATTTTGTATATGTGCTGAAGGTTAATAAAAATGTATATTTAGAATGGAAGTTTTCATTCACGTTTAACTTTTTCCAATACTCGTATCATTATTTCATATCATTTCCATATGTTACATTTACTTCTGTACTCACAAATGTATTTGCGCATATATTGATAAGCATATATTTTAAAAACCAGTAGCTCTATTATGGCCAAAGCTGAATAAAAGTTAAATGTTAGTCAAAAATGATCCAATAATAATTTTATCAAATTTCATCCCGAATTTGGCTGACGGGTGTACCAAAGCATTTTTATCGTTGCATCTTTATTTAAAAACACCTTTAATAGATCCAAATCTGGACTGAAAGATTTAGACTAAAGGCTTATGGATAGTCTGTTATTAATCTAGCACAAATAGGTTTTTCATTGTTGAGAATATCATAGCTGTCAAGTGTGGTCGGTAGTAAATGTTTACTATCGACCACATTCACAGCTAGGTAACGAGAGTTTGAATATGTTTTTATTCCTGTAGCCGAATGTATGTAACGGGCATAACACCTACCATTGTTGATTACATTATATTTTATTTACCTAATAATTTTTAGTAACATTTTATTTTAAACCGGGATTACAGTACAAAATCCGAAAATTCCTACCATCTACATCTTCCTCATTATCCGTCCCAACCTTACTGATAGAGATACTTTAAAGTAAATCACAACAATGTCTATACATCCCGCTTTTCCCATTATGCAGGTATTCCTCAAGGTAGTGTCATAGGTCCTATCCTTTACACAGTCTATACAGCTGACATCTCAACCCATCCCAACACTGTCATCACCACATATGCCGATGACACATGTATCCTATCAGGTAATAACGACCCATCAATTTAATCCAAAGCCCTTCAATCACACATCACAAACCTTGAAGAATGGTGTCAAAACTGGAGAATTAAAATAAATTCCAATAAATCCCATCAAATTACCTTTACCCTACGTCGTAAACCAATGACTTCCTGTCTTTCAGTATCCTTTAACACCTCACTTATTCCTGTTGAAGAAATCCGTTACCTAGGACTACACCTGGACAAACGTCTAACTTGGAATACTCATACCAGACTGAAAAAACGAGAAACAACTCGACGTTTCCGACTACTTCAACACTTACTAGACAAACGCTCTAACATTCCAATTAATTACAAAAGACTCATATACATGACTATAATGAGGCCTGATTGGACTTACGCAGTTGAGCTATGGGGCTCCACAAAGCCTTCAAATTCCTCTCGTATCAAGTCCTTACAATCCAAAATCCTTCGTAAAATCCTTAATGCTCCTTACTTTGTTACAAATAAAATCATCCACTATGATCTTAATGCTGTGTTGGGCAAAATATATCTCAAAACCGACATTTTCATAAAAAGGGCCCCCCAAAACATAATAGTCGACTCTCATATCAATTAAATCCGAAAAGATACAAATATTTGGTTGGGGAGGAGGGGGGCGCTATCTCAAATCTGACAGTTTTTTTCATAAAAAGGGCCCCGTAAAACATATAAACAGACTTAAATTTCGAAGAAATCCTAAAATTGCAAAAAAAGATTATTCGAGTCGTATTTTCATCTTAAATAACGAATAATAGATAACAGATAATGCATATTATTTGTAAATAACAAATAATTATCTGTCCAAAGATCGTCGAATAAGAAATAACGATTAAAAATTTATCTATTATTCGTTATCTAGATAAAATTTCAAATAATTTATTTAAATAACGCCCAACACTGTCTTAATGTTTCAGATTTGGCCCAATCCAGATATCTATTCTTCCATAATAATATTATGGAATAATAGATAATATACTCTTGTTTCTAACCTTGCTTATCTTCCGATTCCTGATCACCCTCCGAGGCTTCTGAAAAGAAGATGGTCCCGTGATCTCCTAATATAGACATATTATTATAGTGCTACCAATGGGTAGTTTCTCAACATGTGTTTCATGTCATTATATCCATGTACGAATTTAGTAGATGTATTTATTTTCATACATTTGAAAATATCATATAAATAATAATAATAAAAAAAAAATTTATTTTAAAATATCTTATTAACATTTATTTGTATTAACATTTAATTTTTATTAACATTCTGTCGTGTTATGGACATAGGTTATAGTGAGGAATTGATTATATTTGACGAAATATTTCAGAAAGGTTGATGACGGTATTGATAATGGTCCAATATCGTTTTGATCATGTTTATTTAGTCCATTCGCTCAGGTTGGAATGATTCCTTAATACGCAAGCCTCCTATTTCTATACACACTCATAGATTTTAAAATACAAGTAATTATGTAACCAAGAGAAATGTAAAGACGCTACACTGACTTTTATGTGTCGATTATTGATTTCGTGGTTGTATATTATCTTTCACTGTTGATGGCTGTAGCAGATAACTTATTAAGTTATATATGAAGAAAGATATTCTTCCTAGTACCACAGTATTTTTTATTTTTTTTAAACATGTGTCACCATATTTTTGACTATGTCACCTACCTTAAAGAAACAAACTAAGCGACATTGGTCTTCGTTAAATTTTAAAAGGTCCTCGACCTCAGACCACGGCCGAACACGGGCAATAAATATCTGCCGCTGGACGGACTCGCACTCTGCTTTGGAAACATCGTATTCAAGGAAACAACATAATTTGAAGACTCCTGAATTTAATGTTTCATATAACTCATCTCTATAACTTATTTAACTATTTATAAACTATAGATAGATATGCCTAAGTATTATTATTATTTTTTTGGAGAGGCTTTTCCATGTCGATTCAACCATACTATGATACCCATCATCTCAGGTATCGAAGTAACTGTTGTGATCGTTCAATTGCGGATTTCTATTAACAATGTTTGCTAACACTACAAAACATATTAGTCAAAATATATTAAACAAGTGTCTGAGGATACTTCCCAATGCTTAGACTGCGTTGCTTGGCGATTCTTTGTAAAATACTTAAGACTTTTAATAAGGAGGAATTTTCTAGGGTGGGTGAATCTAGAGAGGGAGAGAATGAAAGAGAGAGAGAGAGAGAGAGAGAGCGAGAGAGAGAGAGAGAATTTAACCTCTCAAGGGCACAAATGCTTCATAAGCTTTTAAACTGAGTTACTTCAAGATATTCTGAAACAAAGTTACTCAGTGTACAACGTTTGATTAAAATTGCCATAGCTTTATTGGAAAAGTCATGTTCTGGAAAATGATGTAAAAAAATACTTCATGGCTTTTAATAACATAATTATTTATTTTATAATAAAGCGGTCCTTGATCTGACAATAAAACGGAAGAGAGGATCTTGGTCTAGTATTAGCCCATAAAATAGTTCACAATACATAGCAAAGTATAATGGAGGTACTACGTTAGTGTGAAACTAGCATTTCGCATATTTTTAATTATTAATGTTATCAACCAACACTAAAAATAATTACATAATGGTTTGTTATTTTTAAATAGTAGAGTAATACTATTAGTTGATTAAACAATTATATGAAGTTAATGTAGGGTGAAAATGAATCAGGTTGTTGAAAAGTCCTAAACATTCTGTAAATAAATTTTTAAAAAATTATACATGCTGCCCCTTAAGTAGAGAGAAGTTGTTATAGGAATGGTAGCAGACCTTAAGACCAACAAAAAAGTTTATATAAACAATGGGCCAATGTTCCATAGAAAATTAGGAAATCCAAGTTTTGTGTTTTTTAAAAATAAGTTGTATTTTGTTAAATAGATGATTTTCTAACCAGCCACCTATAGTACCCGTGTTTCAGCAAAAACGGCACTTAACTGTTGCAAAGCTTTTATTTATGTTTTTTTCACAAACTGAGATGTATTTTAATAAATATAATTGCCTGAATATAAATTTTTAAAATAATAATAAATATTTTTTATGTAAAATGGTTAAAAAAACTGTGTTTTTCTCCCACATCTTTGTCATAGGAATTAATCCGGATTTATCAGAAACAAAACTTAATATTTCTAATCATAAAATGTCTGTTTGAAATAAAGAAATCTACAGATTACTTCAATCTTAAGACTAGAAACATTAAGTTTGTCAAAATTGGCTGGTTGTTTATATGAACTATTCTGTAGGTCTTGAGTTCTATCATTATTTCTATAAAAAAACTCTGTCTACTTACGTGACACCCTGAATATCAAAAGTAACATTACTTTCAAGAAAGGATGGTTCGGAAGGAAGGTCATAAAAAGACTACAATAGTAAGATAACTATTTATTTTTTTTATTTATTGTTTTATAATTTTAATATTTTTGTGACCGCCACCCCGTGCTCCTTCCTCAATAATATACAAAGATCAGCCATCAAGTATTGAATATAACAATACTTTCCTTGTCACATAAAGGAAATAAAATAAAAATTTACTATTAATATTCGCCAAAATAATTACTTTTTTTTCATCGTTAGTACTTTATTTAAAAAATAGACTACATTGCTTCAATTAAAATACAACTTCCCAAAAATCATTCCAAAACAAAGTATTTAAATTTTACAGCAGGACATATGGAAAATAACACCAAATCTTTGCACCAATTTGTCAAATTTCAACAATTTAGAAATTTGTAAACTTTTTAATTACCACACCAACATGCACAAAATAAATTTTTTGAGTTATTCGGAAATCTAATTTTAGCATCCCTCGTAACTTTTTTTTTCCAGCTTATTACTGGTGAAGTATGTAATGTAGACAAATTTAAAGGGCTTCGAAGGAAAAGACTTAAGCAAAGTTTCATTAATATCGGTACACCCATTCAGGCGCTACAGTCTAGTCTTTCGGCCGCCATCGTGAAACGTAAAACCTCAAAATTTGAGAGGGGATTATTTTTTTTAATTATTTGATCGATTACAATGGATCATGATTAAAATGAATAAACCATCATAATTCAACTAAAATGGATGGGAAGTATAAACAAATTA